AGCCTCGAATTGTGTATTGTATTGATATTATATTGTGTATATTACCAATACACAATCAGATAGTGGGAAATTTTAAAACATTATTCCAAGTGGGGAAAAGTCATGGCCTCCCAGAACAGGAATCTATTTTCTCACAGTCCTGGAGGGAGGCTGGAAGTCCGAGGTCAGGGCCCCAGCTGTAGGGATAGGCTCTCGCTCTTTCTCAGCTCCGGGGGAGGAGCCAGTCTCGGCTTGTGGAGCCCCAGCGGTCTGTCCTCAATTCCTGGGCAGTCTTCACTCAGCCTCGGGCACACTCCCCCCAGTCGTGCCTTGTTCTTTATGACTCAGAAGGGATTAGAGTTAGGACCCACTCTACATTAAAAAGGCCTTCCACGCATCCCGCCATAGGCACTGGGTTAGGAGTGGAACGTAAATATGTGTACAGACAGTGGGAGTGTGGGGAGGCCGGTGGGACACAAATGAGCCCACACACCTGGCTTTGTGAGGCACCCCACAGCGAAGAGCTGAGTCCCTCTCTCTGCTCTTGGGTGGAAGTCACTCTGTGGCTTTGGAGTGACATCCAGGGCTCACTTGATCCCCAGAGCCCCTTGGAAGCCCCCTGCCTGCCACACCCTTAGGGAACAATGCAGCTGTTTCATCTTAGCTCATGGGTACTTTTAGGCTCATCAAAAGAAACACTCCCCTTCCCCTCCCGATTCAGCCTGAAAAACCAACCCATACAAAGCCAGAGAAACTTTTTTTCCCTGATTATTTTTCCTTCTCCAGACAGGGACATCGATATATTTGAATCATTGTCCAACAGTAATTAAAAAGCACATAACTAGTCATTTTAAATGCAGTTGTTTTACTTAATTGATTTTGCCACTAGACCTGGAGGGATGAAAAAGAAAAGCAGTTGGGGATGGGGCAGCTGAGGGGGAAGGCAGCTTTGGAAAGGGAGAGAAGTTTCTAAGAGTGACTGGCGGCAGCTCAGGGCCCTGCTTGAGTCTAATTGCTACAGAAGCTGCAGTTGGTCTCTGCTAATGGTGTTCTGCTGAAAGGGCTGGGGGCTGAGGCCTGATGGGAGGGGTGGCGATTGTTTCAGCTGCATGGAGCATGAGAGTGTGTGTGTGTGTGTGTGTGTGTAGTTCTTTTGGGACAGGCCCTATTTTTCCTTACTATCTATCAGTATAAAGTACTTCCACTGAACACTTTGCATCAAGGTTCCATTTAGAGATACTTTATTCATATTTAATTATAGGCTGCAGCACCAATCTTTAATTACCTTTTTTATAAGCCAGCTAGGAACATCCACTAGCAATCAATTAGTGTGTGTGTGTGTGTGTGTGTGTGTGGTGTGAGTGCAGGAGTTTGTGTGTTTGTGATTTGCTTCCTGAAAGTGGGGGTAGGAGGATGGCTCCAGGGGTGGGGGTGGGGACCTGGTGGGTTGTAGGTGGGGGTGGGGCGGGGGTGGGGCCTCACAGGTTCCCTGTGTCATGAGTACCACATCTGCATTCCCTGTGTCCACCGGCAAGGCTGAGGACTTGGTCACCTATTCTACTTCTCCCAGCCAGGCACTGTCCAGGGTGCTGAGTAAGGAGCTGGGTTTGGGTGGCGACTTCTTGGGGACCCCTCTGTCCCCTGTTGGAAGCAGAGACATGGTAGGAGGTTCCCATCATGCCCCCTGGGCAGACCTTTCCTTTCCCCACTTGGCAGGCTGTTCTTGGCAGCCGGCCTGGTCCCAGCCACGCCACGCCACGCCACGCCATGCCACACCACTCTTCAGCTCGAACGACTTGGCTGCACCCAGCGGCGACACTAGCTGGAAGGTTGACTGGCCTTCTCAGAAAGCACACAGATAGCCTCAGGGAGCCAGGCTGGGGCGTGGGAGAGAGTGGGCCCAGAGAGGACACCCAAGGCCCCGTGTAGTAGGAAGGGCAGGGCATTCCAGTGCCAGGGGGATGAGGCCTGAGTTCCCCACTGCGCTCCAGAGAACACCTTCCTTGGGAGGTGGTGCTGACCTTGGGAGCTCAGCTTGATCTCATGCACCTGCTGGGAATATGACTGTGGCTCTACTCCCCTCTGTTCCTGACCCCTGCCCCAGCCAAAGGGTGAGGAGGGGACAGGAAGTCACAGGAGCCCCTTGTTTCCTGGATTGATCCCAGGTAGGACTTGGGAAAACCCTGTATTAGTCCGAGCTCCCGAGCCCCTGCAATGGTGCGTGACTAAAAACCAACTCAAACTGAGTTAGGCGCCCCCAAAAGAAAAAGAACAAAAAGAGGGATCGCAGAATGGGCATTCAGGCATGGCTGTATCCAGGGCTCAGGCCTTGGCCCCAGATTGGCTCCTTTCCCTGACTCTGCTCTCTTCTTCGTTGATGTGACTTGCGGGGCCACAGTGGCTCACGCTTATATTTTTAGTTTCAAGTTCAGCAAAACAAGAGCTTCCTCTTCTCTCCAGTTTAAACACAAGTAAAACAAAGGCATCCGCTTGGCCTGGCTGAGCCAGGTGTGCATCTCTGAAGCAGTCCCTGTGGCCAGAGGCCTTCAGCCTTGTGCCTGGTCAGGCCGTCGCCTCACACCCATGGCGGAGTCACCTAGTAAAACTCCAGGAGACCTGCGCTTTGGCTCTTCGGGAAGGTTGTGGTCTTGTGGTTAATGGGGTGCAGGTGGAGGCAGGTTCTGGGCTCAAAGCAGCTGCAGTCATTTCAGAGGGAAGAAAGAGCTTCTGTTCTGAGGAGAGAACAGTGGGATCATTCACTCAAAAAGATGGATTTGGCAACGGTAGCCCTGGTGGTGTAGCGGGTTGTGTGATGGGCTGCCAGCTGCAATGGTAGCAGTTTGAAACCACCAGCCTCTCCGCGGGAGATAGAGGAAGCTTTCTGCTCCCATAAAGAGTGACAGTCTGGGTAACCTACGGGGCAGTTCTACCCTGTCCTATAGGGCCATTGCTGGTGGAAATTGACTCAATGGCATTGAGGTTTTTTGAGGTCTAGACCTAGGAGCCCTGGTGGTGGTATAGGAGGCTAGGAGTTTGATTGCTAACTGCAAGGCCAGCCGTTCAAGCCCACCAGCCGCTCTGCGGGAGAAAGATGAGGCTTTTTGCTTCCATGAAGATTTGAAGTCTCAGAAAACCACAGGAACAGCGCGACCCTGTGCCACAGGGTCCCTATGAGTCAGCAGTGACCCTGTGGCAGTGAGTTTGGTGTGAGTTCCAGGCTTGTTCCAGGTGCAGGGAATCCAGCAGTGGCCAAAATAGACCAGAATCCCTGCCCACGTGGAGCTGATGGCCTAATGGGCTTTATTGGGATGACAATCCCAAGCCCAGGCCCAGAGTAACGATATCTCAGTTGGGGAGACCCAGTGTGGTTCGGGGTGAGTGATATGGGAACCAAACTCACTGCCATCGAGTCAGTGCCGACGCACAGTGACCCTGTAGCTCAGGGTAGAACTGCCGCTGTGGGTTTCCGAGACTGTACCTCTCTATGGGAATCGGGAAGAATACACATGTATAGCTGGGGCAGGAGGGGAGCTAGACGCCGAGAGAGGATACAAACTGAAGCCCGCTGAGAAGGGACACAGAGAGCCAATTCTATGCCCATCTCCTGTGACAGAAAATGGCGGCCCCTCCCTGTGTTGCCTGGGCCGTTGGCAGGGTGTGGATGAACGGACGGAGCCAGGGAAAGCACCAGCAGTGGTGGCAGGCCTGGAAGGAGTGATTTACGAAATTAGTAAAGTGATGGTGTAGCTTGCCCGGAAGTCAGGTGACTTCTGAAGTCCTAGGGGAAGAGAGCATGGAAGGGTGGGGAAGGAGGAGCAGGCATGTGACCAGTTACACACACACACACACACACACACACACACACGTGCATGTGTGCGCATGAATATGTGGACCTTCCCAGAACTCTGGGCACACACAGAGCGATCAAGTGGAAGAAATGGAAGGGCTTGGCATTTTAGTCTTGGCCAACCAATCTTTTTTGGGGAAACCATTTGGGAATCTTCTTCCCATCTGGTGGGATATTCTGAGCCATGTAGATGTGACTACTCAAATCACAAACAAGTTTCTTGCAGGGAAATTGATGTGGCACCCTTAGAGAGAAGAAGAGGAGATGGAGGAGTGGAGTCTATGTTCCATTTGATAGAGCGAAACCAAGGCTCAGTGCAGGCAGCTGAGGACCCAAGGCAGGGCTTCTGGCTGGCCTCACAGATCGGGAGACCTCGAGTCCCAATCAGGACTTCAGCTCTAGGTCTAGGGTTGGATCATTCTTGTCAGAGGTCATGGGCGTTCCTTGACACTCATATGGTGCCTGTGTGTGTGTGTGTGTGTGTGTGTGTGTGAGAGAGAGAGAGAGAGAGAGAGAGAGAGAGAGAGAGAGAGAGAGAGACTGTGTCTTCTCCTCAGTAAGACATCGCTCCAAAGGAACTAGGTTGGGCTCAACCTTACTCTGACACCGTCTTATTCACACAACAAAAGAACGCCCCGTGAGCAAACAGGGCCCCTCCTGGCTACTGTGGTTAGGACCTTACTGTGTATTTTGGGGAAACCAGTCCACTCCATAACCGGTACGTTCACAGTGCTGTGTAGCCACCACCTCTGCCCAGTGCCAGGACACTGGGAAGGTCCACATGCGAACAAAGACAGCAAAACACCGACGGCTGTGCGCCCAAGAGCCGCTCTGTTGAGCTCCTTGAGGAAGCGGTTGACGTCCTATTGACTCTCCACATGTGACAACTCGGAGGCACATTGGAGGAAAATTAATTGGGTGGGTGATACACGCTTCTGAACATCCCAGACCGCACCTCCAAGGACATCTCCTGCGCTGCTCCTCACGCCCGCCTGGCTAGGAATCCCCATGGCAGCCGAGGGCCCCGGGGGACCCTGGGTTGGCACCCCGGAAAGCTCGTCAAGCTGGACACTTGTTTTCTGTCGGTGTTGGGTCGTGCTGACTCTGGCCTGTCGTCCTCTCCCTGAATTGGGTAATCTTCTGAGCTGTTCTGTCCTTTCTCCACTTGTGACAGATCCACGACTTGTTTGTGAGCTTTGACGACACCCCTCTGGGGGCTGCTTCCCTGGCCCAGGTCCACAAGGCTGTGCTGCGTGATGGGCGGACAGTGGCCGTGAAGGTCCAACACCCAAAGGTGCAGGCTCAGAGCTCCAAGGATATTCTCCTGATGGAGGTGAGAGCCTACCCCTTCCCTTTCCCCTTCCCCTTGTCCTCATTTTGCAGGTCACCGGGAGGCTGGTGGATGTAGGCTGGCCCTTTGAGCAGCCGAGAGGGGAGAGGAGAGCTTGCTATGAAGACAAAGCAGGTGTCCTGTTGACTCTGTGGCCTGGGGACCTCCCTCGTGGATGAGTTGGGCAGCTTTTCCAGCTTTGCCCTGGAGGCTGTCAGGGGGTGCTCTCAGAACACGCTGAAGCTGAACAGCTCCTAGGGCCAATGAGAGCTCGAGGGGGACCTTGTAGAAACGAGATGGACCAGAAGTTATTTTCCAGGGAATAGAACAGTGACCTCTTCATTTGTAACAAAAGGAGCACAGGGGCGACCAGGGCATAGAAAAAGGATACTCAGATAATGTAGAAATGTTTACGCATGTTGCTTGCATATCTGATAGGTATTTTGAAGGAACAAGGTCACATGCCAGGAAGTGGCCCCAGGAGGAACCCTTGGTGGGGGGAGAGGGGAGGCTATGCCCTGGCTGTTGTCGCTCTAACCGAGGAGCACAGTGGCTCAAACCTAACAACTCTGTGAGGATGGTGCAGGAGCCAGCATGTTGAGTCATAACACACTGACAGCACCTCCTGACCACGGTCACCTGGAACAAAGGCATCGGGAGTGAGCTGCTCGCTGGCCGGTGCTCAGGACGGAAACAACCTGCATGCCCCACGGGGAGTTCAGCAGTCTGCTTACCTGCCACAAGTCCCCCTCCCCTCTCTCTGCATTCCCCGTCCATACTCGAGACTCCTGCTCGTCCCCCTTAAAGTTTGACCCGTGCGCCGAGGGTTTTCTCTGCACAGGCACCAAGTATGTGCCAGAAGCACCAGACTGAAGGAGTCTGTCTTCATCCTCAGGGAGTGCGCAGGCTCTGGAGGGCATGGGCACATAAATGTACGGGCACACAGTCAGCACCCGAACTCTGTACCTGGGCAGTGGAGCCCTGTACCTGGGTTGATGGTGGGCTTCCCAGGGAGGTGGTGCTTGAGTAGATGGGCAGAAGGCCAGCCCAGCATGTGGGAAGGTTCCGAGTCGTGGAGGAACAGCGTCTGCTTGGAGAACTTCAATCGGTGGCAATTGGATGAGCTGGTGAGTGGAAGAAGATGAGTTTGGCGTGGTAGGCGGCACCAAACACCAAAGGCCGTGAATACCCGGCTAAGGTGGAGAATGATGTTTATGGAAAACCTTCAAGGCCCATTGGTGGAACTGAGCTGAGTTCCCTCCTGCACACAGTGGGGAAGCATTTAAGAATTTTAACCAGGAGTATGTCTGGTCAGATGTGCCTTAGAAACCAAAGTGAGTAGGCAGTCTGGAGGCTGTACTGGAAGGCAGAAAGACTGTAGCCACTGAGAGGCAGCTGGCCTGGCCAGGGTTAACCAGGGCAGTGCCATGGGGAGGGGGTGGAGGGGAGGGACCGAGTGGTAGAACTCAAAGGACACAGAGTGACCCATAGGCTCCTTGACTGGTATGATGCAAAGGAGCATTAAAACATGGCCGTCTCAAATGATTACGTCTGGGGCCTTAAGCCGTGCATATCGGAAAACCAGAATTGGGCCCAAAGGGGATAGAGTGGCTTGAGAAACCACACAGGGTGGTGAGACAATGTAGACATTATCAACAATGAGAAGCCACTGCCACCCTCAAGACTCGGGACAGTGTGGGAAGGGGGGTCCTTGTTGCCCAGGAGTGGGGGCTGCCTGATGGAAGCTTGCTGGTGGAGAAGTGGGTCATAAACACAGGACGTTGGCGTCACAGGGGAGGCACAACTGCTGTCGTAGATGCTAGTGGAGGCAGTGGCTGAAGGGGAGAAGTACTTGGCTCTCCCCCTTCTCCGGCCATAGTTCCCCACCGGTGCTCTCCAGTGGCTGAGCTGGCTGCAAACAAGCCTGGAAGGAGACTGGGCAGTGTGGTGTCTGTGAAAGCAAGGGGGTTGGGATGGTGCTCAGAGCACCGGGACGTGGGTGATGGCACACGCTGAGTCAGGGAGTCTCGTGGGCACTTTTGGATGGAGCGTCTCTGCTGGCCTGGAGCTCAAGCGAGACACAGGCATTTGGTATTTATCAGCCAGGGTCCTGATGGCAGCTAAAGATGGCAGCGTCTTTGAGATCACTCGGGAAGGTGCAGAGAGTAAAAACAAAGGGGTTGGGTTGGGGAGGCCCATCCTTTAGCAAGAACACCACTATCTGGAGGAGACGCAGGACCGAGCGAGTAGAGAGCTCTGTGTCATTATCTGCTGCCACATAACGAACCCCCTCAAGACTTCCGCCAGGTGTGGCTTGCTCGTGAAGCTGCAGTTGGAGCAGGGTTGGTGAGATCACTCACTTTGTGTAGTACTCGTTGGGGTGGCTTGACTGGAGGCTGGAGGGTCCGCCTCCAAGGTGGCTCACTCATGTGACTGGCGAGTGGGTGCTGGCAGTGGGCCGGGGGCTCAGCTGCAGCCAAGGGCCTTGGTCCCTCCCCATGGCTTTCTGCAGCGTGGTGGCTGGGTTCTGCCAGTGCATGTCTCGGGAGAGTAAGGCTGCACACACATCGAGGTCTAGATCCTAGCCGTGGGAGCCGGGTCACCTGACTTCCTTCACTGTACTGGCTGGAGCAGTCACAAGGGGTGGAGAAATAAACACCTCCTACGGAGGGAGCGCCAAGGTTCTAGAAGAGTCTGTCGAGCTAATCAAACAAACTCCCTGCCGTTGAGTCAATTCCGACTCACACCCACCCAACAGAACAGGGTAGAACTGCCTGCCACTTTCTGAGACTTCTGAGACCGCAACTCTTTAGGGGAATAGAGAGTCTCATCTTTTCCCTGAGGAGCAGCTGGTGGTTTCGATCTGCTGACTATGCAGTTAACTGCTCAAGGCATAACCACTACGCCCCCAGGACTCCTTAGAAGAGTCTGTCGGCTGGTAACTATTGCTGGAGTTGTTTGGGGAAGATGCCACCAACCAGGAGTGTTTACAGTATCCTGGGTGGCGAGTTTTGGGTTGAGCCATTTAGAGCTGGGAAGAGCATCCCGCGGAGGGTGAGTGGGGCGCAAGAGAAGGAACCCCAAGGGGACAGAGAGAGTTAAGGTAGAATGCGCTTCTCAGATCCTGAGGCTGGGTAGAGATCAGTGTGTATATGAGTGTGGGTTGGGGGCAGGGGCAGAGAGGGGAAGCGGGAGAAGTGGGCCGTGGAGCAGCCTGTAGTCCAGTGGCCTCTATTTTCTGTCTGAAGTAGGAGGCAGACCATCTGCTGAGAGGACGGGTAGGAGGTAGCAGTGGAGACTCGAGGAGGGGACAGGTTTGAGTCGCTCTGTGCGCAGTGGAAAAGGGAGCCGGCGTTCTGAGTGGCCCTTGTGGCCGGAGGAGATGCCTGGCTAGAGCAGGGTCCTTTTGTGCCGGGAGGATGGCTGCCATCTTTTCCCTGCTTCTGGCCTGGCCGGCTGCCTGGGTAACGATAGCTGTGAGGTCAATGGCAGTGGCAGCTGTCCTAAAGATTCAGCCTTTCCCTCCTGGAGATCAGCACCGAATGCTGTGCTTGGGAACACACAGCTTAAGTCGGCGGTGTGTGGGGAGCACAGGGTCCTAGTGGGGCCTTGGGTCTGCAGGAGCCTGGAGAGGAGCAGGGTGGGTGGGGGGAGGCCCCAAGCCCTACCCCGTGGACCTCAGCATCAGCGGGCAGGTTGGTGCCAGTGGTGGGCTGGACTCTGCCTCTTGTGGGACTAAAACCACCCCTGGGTTGGTCCCCCTTTGCTTCTGGAGCCCACCTAGAAAGCTTATTTTATATCTGAAATGAGTGTTGCTACTATTGTGGGCCAGACCCAGAGGGGGTCCTACCCGCCCTGAATGGGGCAGACAGACCAGTGGTCTGAACCCACCACGAGGCCCCTCTGGGGACAGGCCTGGCAGTCTGCTCTGAGAGGTCACAGCTTTGATTCCCCCCCATCACCAGTGGCTGGGCTTTGGGACAGGCGCTCAGGTGTCCTTGGCTGGGGATGCATGGTGGCTGGGGTCCCTGGGGCCCTTTGAGCTGCCGGGTGCTTTAAGGTAGGGGGAGGCCCAGCTCCTTTCTGTACAGCTTCGGGTGCATCTCCCCAGGCCCACTGTAGTTGTATTGCTTATGCACCCTGTACTCCTCTCTCCCAGCTGTCCAGAAAGTTCCACCAGCACCCCACCCCACCCAGCCCACCCAGCCAGGGCTCACAGCCTGTCCTGGAGAGGAAGGCAGTCTGATGAATGGAATTCAGCCCGACGGGGAGGGATGGATAAGCCTCGCCTCCAAATAGTTGCAGTCCAATAAGGGCACCTGTAAAGGCCAACGCCGTTCTGCGGCGAGGCATGAGGCCGGCAGGACTGAGTCTTAGGCGACAGACAGGAGGTGGCGGTAGTATCAGTTAGGATGCTCTGCCATCAGGCCTCAGAAAATCCAACCAGACTCTGTAGGAATAAACACCAACCTGTGTTCTTGCCCATCGGTGGTCTGGACGGAGGTTGCCTGTCCCAAGGCCGACTGCTCCAGCTTCTCATTGTGTTGTGGTGGTGGTGGTGTTTATTCTTTTAATAGACTGTATTTTTTGAAGCTGTTAGAGAGTTTCAGAAAAATCCAGCAGAGGGTACAGAGAGTCCCCTCTCCCCCCTGCATATCGCCTCACTTATCAGCCCCCTCCACCCTCTGTTGGGTGTATAATAGGGGTACTGCTGGGATGATTGCAGGGGGCTGAAAAAGCCGATACCTACATGTTATTTTGGATGATGGGCTATCGTACAAAGGCTTTTCATTGCAGGTGGTGGCACCCAGTACTTTTTCCCCCTCCTCTGAAAAGAAGGCAGTAGGCCAAGTAAGTTTGGGAGCCTGTGGATAAGAAGCTACGTTCTCTTCATCTTCCCTCTGCCATCTCAGCCTCCTGGCCACACGGGTGCCCCTCATGGTCTGGTGTCACTCCAGGTGAAGGCCCCTATACTCTCCTGGACCATGTATTAAAAAGAAGGA